ACAGGGAATATCTGTTATATACAAAGCATTCCCTGTGCTCCTCAAGACAAGGACACATCCTGCCTCAAAAGGACACATTCTGAGATCTGAAAAGGATGAGAGGCAGATGCTAACAATGCCTGCAGATTGTAGCTGGTAGTCAAGAAGGGAGAAACTAACCCTGGTAGGAACTGCACAGCCAGGCCCTTCGCCCACAAGCTCTCTTCATCTCATTCCCACGCCCATCCTTAGAATCAATTTTCAGTTACTTTGCTTTTTTGTTTGTTTCCTGGGCTATTTGTTTAGCTTTTTGTTTGCTTCTTTTGGTTCACTGTGTTCTAGATTAAAAGGCAAGAGGTCCCTGTTCCAGCCTTGATTTGAATCCTGAACTTTTATATGTTGTTAAGTGAACACCTTGTCCCCTTTGAATTTGAACTTCCTCATCTGGATTCACACTAGGGAAACAAATCCACACCCTGTCCTTCACGCTTCTCAGGTTTAGTTGTGAATACAACCCACAGCAGAAGTGCCAAGCCCTGGAAGAAATGCCATGGTGGTGTGCCTCTGATGGTTCCCAGGGAACTTGTATAGTGCTCAAAATCAGTCCCCACTCCAATCTTGGCATGCCCATCCTGGTGTAAAGCCAATGCCCTCCAGATACTGGTGCTGGCGTCAAGAAGCTGAAGTTAGGCTATGTTCCAGGCTTGCTGTGTACTGCTAAGTGGGGTGGAACACCTGGGAAGAAGAGGGCAGCCAGCTCTGGTATGGAGTTCTGAGAGAGGAAGGATCACATGCTATGGAAGTCCACTGATTGAGGGCTTCTCCCCAACTATGAAAAAAGCAGGTAAGCACAAAGAGACGGGCACAGAGGGAAAGGGCTGAAGACCTTCTCAAGTTCCCTCAGGGAGTGACCTTAACCTCCCAGAGTTGACCGGGGCGCTCCCAAGTCCTCCTGGCACCCTCACCTCACCTCCCCACCACTCTCTACCTCTGCGGGCACTCTCCCGATAATCTAGCCTTTTGCGGTCTTTCATTCAGCCAGGTCTGGTCTGTGTCAAGTTTCATGCTGTGCCTTGAGGACACAGAAATAAATCAGACCAGATCTCCATTCTCCAGAAGTCTCAGGCTAGCAGAAAAGATAAAAGATGCTAAGATGAAAAGAAGGGAGGGCCTGGGGAGGCACCTCCACACTCCTGGGAGCAGGGACGGCTCTAATGTCTGCTTTTTTTCACCCAAACCATCATTTTTAAAATCCTGGATGCTTAGTGGTACAGGGACGTTCATAGGCTATCCCCAACAGGTTCTCCATATGGGGAAAGAATAAGATTAGAGACCAAGTTCATTTACAGTGTCAATTCCAAAAGAGAGATGGAGGAATAAGAATGGAGAAAGAATTATACCCCTTTTTTGTGACTTTATCCCTGGTATCCATGCCTGGGCTCCCTAACTGGAGCTCAAAACACTCAGGAAGAAATTTTGTTTGGGGGGGGGGGTGTCGAGACAGCGTTTCTCTGTAGCTTTGGAACCTGTCCTGGAACTATCTCTTGTAGACTAGACTGGCCTCAAACTCACAAAGATCCACCTGCCTCTGCCTCCCGATTGCTGGGATTAAAGGCGTGAGCCACCACCACTCACTGACCAACTTTTAAAAAAAAAAATTTAAAAAAAGAAAGACTTTTAATCTCAAGTTCCTAGTTCCAACCTGACATATTAGAATCCCCGGAAGCTGGGGGTGGGAAGGGCATCTGCTTCTCCAACTTGACTCCAAACCCCCCAAAAGGTCTGGATCCCCACAACAGGAGGAGTTCCTGATGTTGGATGCTGAGGTGACCCCAACTGGGATGCCTTCACAGGAGAACCAACCAGGATCTGAGCCTGGGAAAATGGTGTAGTTGCTCAGTCACACGAAGAGGACACAGAAGCTTCCTGGCTCTGCGGGACCGATCTCTCAGACATGCTAGGAGGTCTCAGGAGGCAGAGCTTTTCTCTGTCTTTAATTTCCTCATTGGTCCTGGAAACCTTTACACTGCACAGAGCAGGACACTTAAGAAACCTAAACATGACTGCCTAGTTGTTGGGTGGCGCTTTGAGGGTTTAGTCTCTCCCCTGTGTGAGCCA